GACTGTAGCTCAACTGGTTTTAAATTTTAATTGTCTGAAAACTTTTATTTAGTCTGTAACAGGAAACTGTTCTGTTTTGAGTACCTCCCCCCCCCCTCCCCCCCCCCCTAAATTCTATTGTGAGGAGATAATTATGCATCTTATTGTTTTCTAGATGTGTATCAAGTTATGTACAGAAATGCGACCAAAACTGGGGGAGATGAGCTATTTAGATTATAGGGCTGTCACGGGTACCCGAAATGACCCGGAACCGCGGAACAATTAATTCGGGACGGGTACGGTTCCGTTTTTCCGGAATTCGGTTCGGGTCCGATATGTATAATAGAGTAGATTTTACTATAAAAATGGCGTCAAAAACGAGAGATTTGTTAGTACATTGTCATAAAATTTCAAAATGGCAGGAAAAAAATATATTTACCTGCCATGTTGGCCTATAAGTTTGACATTGAACAGACAGAATGGCCAATTATCTTCTGTATGTAAAGGCCAGTCGTATATTTTTCCCCCCTTTAGATCCGATTGTTTTTCTCTACTTTCTGCAACTGCCGATTCAATCAGCCAATGACATTTTGGTATAAATAGATCTTGACAAAATACTCTATAATTTTATTTCCAAACCCATCTGCAAGGAGCATAAAAGTAGTGATGAGTGTTTAAAACATCGAAGGAAACCATACCATGTTGTTTTTTACCGCCATGATTGATTATGGGGTCGGACTAATAGCAGGAAACGGACAATGTTGCAAAGTTTTACAAAGGGAAAAAATTAGTCTAGGTTATCTTTAAACGTGATTATACATTGAATATCATTAGAGATACAAGTCTTATTTTTGGATAACTATTTTTAAAATTATATTCCCAAGAAATAAATACATGTACAAGTAAGAAAAGGTGGGACTAATATAAGTTAAATACCCATTGAATGGAATTAAAAAAAAATCCCCATTCTGTTTCATATTTATTTTATTTAAAAGAAAACAAAATAATATTCCCACCTTATTAAAAGGAAAGTTAATATTCATATTTGAATATTTTATGTAATAAAATGACTATTTTGTAAAAGTCTGACAGAAATCTGAGTTAGTTTAACTTTCTATTGGCCTATAATTTTAGGAAGTTTAGGACAGAATGGCCTATAACTTTACTGGTAAATATGCCAGATGTCCTATTGTTACTGAAAAATTATTTCAATCTGAAACCCTGAAAGGTGATTTAAATAATTTGGTACAATTGTTGTCTAGTCAGGAGGCTACTTTAAACTAGTTATAATGTGTCAGGAAATAATGTGGAAATAATACAAATCATGAGCTTTTCTTCCATTACCTACCCGACCCGAGAAACCCGAAACCGAACCTAAAAAAATCAGAACCGACCCGACCCGAAAAATTTTGGAACCGTGACAGCCCTATTAGATTATGTAAGAGACATATGGACAAATGACAGATGCTTTACTATTGCCAATTCTTCCGGTTCTAATATTGAAGCTATCCAAAAAAATCAAGACCAGAAATAACTTACAAAGCAAGTTTTCCAACTCAGGGTTATTCTTTGGAATTCTCACTTCCTGAAACAAGAAAAAAAGGTATACAAAAGTATTATTCTGAGGTGCATACACCTTTTAATACTGTATATGATCTAGTCTGTTTTGGGGATATATATATTTATCTTGCAGAATGTGAATATAAATATGAAGAGAGAAAAAATGGCTAGAGTTAGTGGGAAAATGGAGAGAGAGAAAGGAGACCTGAAGTTGAGTTGTTATTGCTGCTACATCACTGCAAACTTGAGTCATTCTCTGATAGAGGTCAGAAATCTTTTGTCCATCAACTGGGCTGCCAAACCCTTCCTGGAAAAGAACGTTTTATTGTATGCCTGATATTACTTGTCTACTTATCTTTTTCATTGAAGTGCACTACATGTTTACATGAGAGAATTTTATTTTCATTATATCTACTATGTGTACGATTATAAAAAATAAATATAATACATATGCATTACCGTTGTTTTTCATCATTTGCCTTTGATATAGATCTATATACAATTAACCAATGGCATGTAATGATGTTTATACCTGTAGCTCTTTCCATGCATTTATCGATGAGATGGTGTCTTCCTTGGAGAGTGGTCTTGTTTTCAGACTCTCCACTTCATCCTTGATCTGTGAGTAGAAATACGACTCACACTTCTCAGCTACTTCTTTTATAGCATTAGATAACTGCAGCCAAATCCTCTCAAAGCTGTCATTGTCCACCTCAGCATTCCCTCTGTGCAATAGTTCTTTATCATTCCTCAAATTTCTGATGTTTTCAATAACTTGTTTCTGTCCTGAATCCTTTATAAGAAAATTTTTCAGCAAACAACTTGTGAGGGTTATGTCCAATTTATTCACATTAACATTCAAATCTGTATTAGGTAAAAGCTTGCAGCAACAGCGACCTCTAAATCTCGCCACGCAGCAGTCATCCACATTTCGGAACAGTTGTCTTAAAACGTCTTTGGGTAAAGGTGGTTTTCCTTTATTGTCTGTGAATTCGGGACATTGGCAACATTTCTTTAAATCTGTCAGATGAAAAATTTCATGTTTTCTTTCCTCAAGAAAATCACACAATTTCTGCCATTTTTGATTTCTCAGTTCATATTCAATCCTGTGTTGTAAAACTTTAGCACCATATTTCATCAAGAGCCAAATCAGCTTAAGAAAGTTTGTCTCCTTCACGTCTGCCATTTTGTCAAGTAGTCCCACCCTACTGAAAGAGAATGATGTATCAGACAGTGGTGTATATTCCTTTCTGCTAATGTGTAGGCTTGTGTGAAGCCACATATTTAACCTGAGCTGCAAAGTGTGGGAAGACAAGGAGCTTCCTCTCGATAGGTATTAGGGGGGGGGTCAAAGGGACCACTTTTGCAAACTCAGACGTCTGTAATTTTAATTTGACCAATGAAAATAATATTGTACATATATTACTGTTTATATCCTGATGTGAAGACTAAGGGCGAAACGATTACACGTGTAAACGGCGACGTTTCGATTATATGCTCTAAACGTTTACAGTTTGAGTAAACGTTTACACGAAGGTCATTATTAATGTCTATCAGAAATAAAGTTTAACACAAACAAATTGTTTTATTTCATAATTTACAAAAGAAAGACCGTCTTTGACCATTTGTCTGATTTGATAAGCAACAACCTAAACCGGAAACATATTTAATGAAAATAACTAAAACCCGATACGGGCTAACATAATTAATTCGAGTTATCCGAGTTGCTAATACTAGCGATGTTTTACGACACTTGAAATATAAAACTTGATATATTTTGATTAAATAAATATAATACATTTTTCACAAGTCTTTGAAAAGTTTCAATACAGTCAGCAGGTCTTGTTTTACTTTTTTCGAGATAAAAAGATCCATCTTTACAATTATTTTTTCTACGTCCGGTAGTCAAACAAACCAAGCAGTTGGTTGACAAGGTCGTAAGTGAATGAATTTAATGCGCCTCAAATTCTTACTGTTAAATCACAATAACCAACAATAAATTTGTAATAACAACTCATACTTATATTCAAGTGAAAGAATTGATTATTAAATTCGAGTTTCATCATGTTCATGAGTAAGAAGCCATAAAAATCCAACATAGAATATCTCCCGTTTAAACGGTACCGTTTCGTTTACTGCTATCCGTTTAAACGTTTACAAAATTCAGTAAACGTTTCACCCTTAATCTTCACCACTTAACAAGACTGACAACTTATCCTTTAACTCTATATCTGCTAAGAATAATGGAAATTTCCTTCCTAAATAATCAAACTTTGATCAAAATGTTGACTAACAAATATAATGCAAGTTATCAATTTTGTTTCCTGCACATATTATGGGATTCTGTTGTTTTTTATTAAATATTCTGATACAAATTTCTTGCAATGCTTGAATTTGTCTTGGATTACGAAAACTCGTAATATAGTCTCTTAGTCTTGCATGTACATCTGCTATATTACGCGTATTTGTAATTTAACTACATTATGAAAAATTATAATATAAGTTTTATATTACGATAACTTGTAATATTATGCTTTCTCGTAATCTAACGTTTTTTCGTAATATTACGAATTTTCGTATTGGACTGGACTGTAGGCCCTATTTATAACAAAAGTTGAAATAAGCTTCATTCCTTAAAATAATAATATTAAAACAGTAAATAAATGTTAATTATTTCTTTTAATAATAATAGATAGAATTTTCTATCATTAAATTGATATAATCCTATATTGAGGGCTTGTTCCAAGACAGACTATTCTAACTATAAGTCTCTTCACTAATCAACAGATCAGTAATCTACACATTCCATAAACCATTGTGAACAGCTTCTTCTCAATGTCAACGGTTTGTGATTTCAGAACTTCAAAAAGTCACAAAATCTTTTACATTGTGAGGATGCGTGAACAATGATATGGCTAAATGTGTTTCTTCAGTTCTTACCAGCAACACGCCAACAGTAAACACTTCAACGGAAGTAAAATTGGAAAAAAAACGTGGCTTACAAGTTTACAGCAGTCCCTGATTCCTTGCTGAATGTTTGAGCCTGAGTTCCGATGTAGTCAACCAACTTTGATAATGTATATTCTGCTTAACAGTCAGAACTCTCTCATTATGATTACGGTCGACCATACATTTTTTTTTCATGCTGGCCTGTGATTGCCTGTTTCGGTCTATTCGCATCAAATGATCTGCATGAAACAACTCCTTATCGTAAAATTAAAACAAAATAGACCTAAACCAAGCAATTTAACCAATAAAATGCCAAGGAAAGATATAAATTGAATAATGAAATTTAAAATAAGCTCCGTTTGGTTAAGGATTGGGGGAAATTTGGGAAAAAATAAAATAAAATGAGGGCTTAAACTTCCGAGCTACGAAACAATGTTCCGCCGCTGAATTCAAAAACGAAAGTAGGATGCACTCGGAGCCTCTCGGATGGCTAGTAATTAAGCAGAACGTAGTCAGCCGAGGGTAGTTAGAATAATCTAACTGTGTCTCGGTACAAGCCCTCACCACAGTTAGAATACCGCCTATATACTCGTAATGTAGCAAAAAATTGCAGAATCGCACCGAAACGATTTTGAAGGATACAAACGGATTTGCACTGAAAATAACTTGCAAATTAATCATAACAAACCTTTTTGAGATTGCTTATGCCTTTTATCCCAAAAAAACAATCCATATAAATACGAAAATCCCATTCATTTTCTCAACGTTATTCTCTCGATTCAAATTACCTCCATGTTTACATTCGGAACTCTCAAGATTGTTCCTAGTAAATGCACTATGCGAGTTATCGCCCGTGTTTCTTTCTGCTACATTACGAATACACGGAACGAATTCTATCGTTAAACCGGGTCCGTAGGACAATATCATTTTAACGATAGAACATTCTATCTAGCCGAGGGTTGCCGATGGAGTGAGATGTTGACAGAAGTTGACGAGAAGAGGACTCTGGTCAGGATAGTGTGAATTATTTTGCCTACACAACTATTGTACGTTAAAATATTGTCATAATGTCACATGCATGTGATCGAAAGGAACACAAGATTTAAATATATATATTCCAATCACAGTTTAAATTGATGATCATGCAGTTTATTTATTAGTCCGAAAAACCTGACGTTTTTCTGGCTTTTTCACGATTTTGATATTTTACATGCCAGGAAAACGTCAGAACCGGCGCCATTACGAAAACCGGGAATTTCACCGTCTCCATCAGAAGTTGATTTTCTATACTTGGGAATCGAATTAGATGCCGAAATTACAATTTATCAATGGCACAATGCTCCTAGAACACACCAATATCGATGAATAGAAATTACCACTCCACATTCCGATTCAGAACTCGCACGATTTTAAAATGCACGAAATGAAAACAAATCTAACAGTCAGATAAAATGTGTTCATCGGATTAATATTATTTCATAAACGAAACATAAAAACGATGTTGGTGAGTACTAAAGGTGTTGTACTATTGATAATATGTGAATTCAGCATTTAATTCGGTTTACAAGTATCGAAAATCAACCTCTGAATGCCGCCTCCGGTTGGAGGCGGCGATTTCCCAGTTTTCGTAATGGTGCCGGTTCTGACGTTTTCCTGGCATGTAAAATATCAAAATCGTAAAAAAGCCAGAAAAACGTCAGATTTTTCGGACTATTTATTTATTAACCAAGTTAACATTTTATAGATATGACACATATAATCTGATAATAGGAGCAGTATTTGTAGCTGAGTTAAAACTTCATCCTACTCTGTTAAAGATTCCTCTGAGCAGCTGCTGACAGGTCAAGGTGTGTCAAACCAAGAAATAATCCTGGACAGTCAGGTAACAAGGGTTTTCTTACGGAAAAAAAGATAATCCAAGTAAATTTTAATAAAATTCTCATCATTCTGACATTTACTTCATAATGCTTTAACTATGAATCATAATTAAGTGACTCCATCATTTGTCTCGGCAATAACATTTCTTCATTCTTTCGTAATCTTCATGATTGACACCAGCTGTAGTTAATGAGAGAGGAATTACTGTAAAAGTGATGCCAGAGACAGCCCTCGTGACAAAGATGGCAAAAAATCTTCTCCGACAGTCTTACATAAAATTACTCTGCTCCTCTCCTGCAAAATCCCACAATGCATTTCTAAATTTGGCCTCACAGCGATGTCAACATACGAAGG